CGCCGGATATAGAGAACAGGCAAACATGAAGTCCTGCCAAATCATAATCCCGTACTCGTCGGCCAACTCGTAGAACAGGTCCGACTCATACACCCCTCCGCCCCACACTCTCATCATATTCATGTTCGCACGTTTAGCTGATCCTAAGACGTGTCTCAAGTACTCGGGAGTGATGTCTTCCGTCAGGACATTGGTTGGGACCCAATTCGATCCCTTCGCATAGAAAGGCTGGGAATTTACTTCAAAGAAAAAGGTCAGGCCTTCGGGTTTTACAGGATTTTGAACCAGTTTTATGGTTCGGAAACCAATTTTCTTGGTTTGTGTCGAAACTTCTTTATTGACATCTATTTGGACATTGAGTTGATATAACTTCTGTGTATTGTCTGAAACACCGTTTGGATACCAAGTGATGATTTGGATGTCAGTGATAAAGATGACAATCATCATTTTGGCTTTTCCCTGACCGTCCGTTTCAATCGTTTGTTTTTGTTTATTAATCAAAACATTATTATCTAATTTAATGTCCAAAATGCCATTTATTTTTTGTTTTGGTGCCGATTCTAAGAATGCATTAACAGTTAGTGTCCATTGACTGGCATTCTTCGGGTCGGGAATCGTCTCAATAGTGATATCTCTGATCTCCAAACTATCGAAGGCCTCAATTCCTATGGGTTTCCAAATACCCTGTGTTGGGAACGCCGGGCCCTAAATGTGGTTCAAAATAAATGTTTAGAGAATTTATAGTTAATTTATAAAATATAAATGCAAACCCAATCCCAACTAAAAGATGCGGCCATTTTTCGAATAAAATTAAAATGACATTCACCGTTATATGCGGCACATTCTGTAATGTAAATTAAGTTTGAATTATGTTTATTATTTTAAAATTCAATACTGAATACCCGGCAGAACTGCATATTTATATTTCTGTTTAAATTCTTCAGACTTTTGTTTGGCATAAAGAGGCGCCGATTGAAAGGCCAGTCGTATTGTGTTTTGTCCCGATTTTAACACTTTCTTCACATCCCAGACATATCTCACGAACTGATTGTCTGTTTTGCCGATCAATTGGTCGTTAATATAAACACTACTAATAGTGTCGATACCATTGGCCAATAAATTGATATTTTTCTTGTTTAGTAGTTTTGAATCCACTGTTAATTTAATTTAAATAATTAATCATAAAATTTATAAAATAATTATTAAATAAATACCAGTGAATGTGCGCTCATATGTCCAGTTATCGTAAGCAACCCATCGATAGTTGACATCATTTTTCTCATACAATAAGTCCTGTTTGAGAACCTGTGCTCTCCTGAGGTCCGAGTATATACTTCCTGGTACTTTTGCCCCAACTTTAATCGCTATTATTAATTGAAAATAAAATTATTAGATATTGAAACAAGGTTTAACTAAAATTATTAAATATAATTACATTTATTAAAACTAATGGCATTCCAGTCGTTGCCGTCTAATGATAAATAGTCGGCAAAACCGATGCCAATGAAGCAAAGGATAACAACTATTTTGTCATACATTTTACTCAAATAATAACGAGTAAATGTTTAACACTTTGTTTTGTTTAACTATTTTTATATAAAAAATTATTGATAATAAAATGGATTAATCGATACTTAACTTAAATTGACAATTATTTCTAAGGCATTGATAAATTGAGCACAAATACAATAACATTTCCACTTTTATTATCAAATTAATATACGAGGTCTTAATAAACATCTACAGTACAGTATTCATGCACTACAAATACCATACTCAATTAGATTTAGTTAACAACGTGCAAATTTAACCATCAATATAAGTTGTTGATAATAACTAACAAGTAAGTAAATTAGTGTAGTATTTTTATTTATGCTAAATTGTACTTTTCATACTTTCAAGTTTTAAAATAATAATGTATTAATAGGAAAATATTAATATTTGGTTTATTTTTGATAGTAATTTTGATAGTAGTTTTTGAAATGTCTAATCTTTTTTCGTATTTTTGATAAGTTTTATATACTGTAGGTTTTCAAAACATTTAAAGTGTAAAACAGATAATTTGATAAATAAATGACATTTCAATTTAAGTGCAGTTTATTTATGCTTTTTTATTCAATTGATAACATTTTCAAATGTCTTTTACACAACATCTGTGAGTGTCTTAAACGTGAGATTATCTTTGATATCGTTTTCACTGACATTAGACTCGGTTTGCATTTCAATCGTTTTACTGCCAAATATAAAAAATCCGTTTTCCATGAATTGACCCCTAATTCCCGATTTGGGCTTAAAGTCCATCACAACAAACGCTGCGATCGATTGCGAAGACAATGTGATCTCAAAGACATGATTGTTATCATTAGATTCAGACACAGACTTTTTCTTCACGTCAATTAGTTTGAGCTCTGGTTTGACTAGTTTTGAGTTTTTCGGTTCCGTTAATAACATAAAGTTATTTGCCTTTAAATTAAATATAAAAATTGTAAAAATTATTAAAAATTTGCGATCAATTTACAAATTTATAGTTACATTAATTTTATGGTCCATATTATTGACATTAACGGAAAGTATGCAATCATTTCTGTCCACACATTTGGCTTTTGAAAGGATATCTGATATGGGAGTCGAGTAAATAATTTGTGCTGAAATACTATCAGTTTTGGTCAATCCATTGACGGTATAAATTGCTGTGTTTTGCGACCATTTATACACTTTAATACTGTAATTGAATGATAACTCTCCCAAATAGTCGTCCCTCACAAACGATACCTAAATTATTAATCAATAAATAAATCATTGATACAAATTCACAATAGAATTGTCTAAACTATACTTTTAAACTCTTATCCCTGTCTTCATAGGGAGAGACCAAATGGTTGTCCAAGAAGTGGATAACATATGAGTGGAGGACTTTCCACTTGCCGTTGTGTTCAATGGAGGCCCAGGAGGGCGCCGGCCATATATCGTTGAGTTGCCAATACAGGGCTCCCATTGTATACCCATTACCACTGTTGGGATCAATGGCACGATTACGACGATAAAACTCTGTCTCCGTCTTCATAGCCATCGCTTGTATTATTTGCGAAGAATAGACAAAATCATTCAATCGATCGATTCCTCCACTCGAGGGTCGTCTCAAATAATAGTCTTTTGTATAATAAATAATATAATCCGAAAAGAGTTAACAAAACATAATTACACGANCGACGATAAAACTCTGTCTCCGTCTTCATAGCCATCGCTTGTATTATTTGCGAAGAATAGACAAAATCATTCAATCGATCGATTCCTCCACTCGAGGGTCGTCTCAAATAATAGTCTTTTGTATAATAAATAATATGACAAAAAAAGAGTTAACAAAACATAATTACACGATAAATGGTATACATGTTTACCAATCTGTTTATCAATAGTCTGATCGCCTCCGGGATGGTGCTGATGGTGCTGCACATTAGGCGCCAACGGGTAGACCAGGTCTTTGTCATCGAAGGCCGAGTGAAGTGTCTCAAGCGATGGATACGATTGAAAGCCGTATTCGGAGGCAAACTTTGGGCTCCAGAACGTAGTCCAGTCCCAGAGACGGGAGCCGTCGTTATAGTAGTGAATATCGCCATAACGTGAGTCCTCGGGATTGCTTGACGTGTAGTTGTCTTTGATGTCTTGCAGACCATTGGACGGACTCGACGGCGCGTACGGACGAGTTGTGTCTTCGGTCGACAGTATCTTTCCAATGGTTCCGATATATAGGGCGCGATAGTCGGCGTCGTATTGTGGCAAATGTGGTTTCCACCAACCGGCCAGACCTTGCTCATTCTCGTTGTTACCTTGTTTAGTACACAAATATTAAGAGTTGGTTTAAAATCTAGGTGTAAATTATGTTTTTAATGTAAATACCGGCCCAAAGGGCGATGGATGGGTGGTGTTGAATACGCCTGACTTGAGTGATCACTTCATCGCTCACTGAATCTAAGAACTCTTTTGTCGCCGGATATAGAGAACAGGCAAACATGAAGTCCTGCCAAATCATAATCCCGTACTCGTCGGCCAACTCGTAGAACAGGTCCGACTCATACACCCCTCCGCCCCACACTCTCATCATATTCATGTTCGCACGCTTTGCTGATCCCAAGACGTGTCGTAAGTACTCGGGAGTGATGTCTTCCATCAGGACATTGGTTGGGATCCAATTCGTTCCCTTAGCGAAGAATGGCTTTTCGTTAACTTCAAAGTAAAAGGTCAGACCATTTGGTTTGATTGGGTTTTGAACCAGTTTTATGGTTCGGAAACCAATTTTCTTGGTTTGTGTCGAAACTTCTTTATTGACATCTATTTGGACATTGAGTTGATATAACTTCTGTGTATTGTCTGAAACACCGTTTGGATACCAAGTGATG